GGAGCTATGGTGTACAAAAGTCAAGCTTAATAGATGAAATGTAAAATAGAGATACATACGGATCAAGTAATGGATTGTAGGTAATTTACCTATGATGAGTGTGTTTCTTTGTAGATTCCAAATTCAATTGGGACAGCATAAGTAGCAGCTCATTATCAGCATCATGAGATGTCTTGGACTCAAAATTCAGGGGACTAGATTGAATGATCTGAGAGTCCTTCAATTTCTTTGTTGAAGGGAATTGGTGTTGGTCATCATCAATGTTCCGATGCCTCTTTTTCGGCAAATTTACCTCCAATTTCTTTTGTTGAAGGAAGTTTGTGTACTCCGAGACATTTATTGGGTGAACTCCACATTCTTTGATGAAGCAATCACGAATATAAACCCCCCATTTACGGATCTCACCGTCACCAAACTGAAATTGAAATTTAAGTTCCGTATCATTACCTATTCCCCTTCTTCGGAGTTTTTGTAGTGTGCAATCACAATAGAGGGGATCATAACACTTGAAAACATTATCTAAATCCAATTTCACCATTGAATAGTGCCATCCTGTTGGGCCTTTCGAATGGAAGCGAGAATCTTGCCTACGCCAATTATCCCTCCTTCACATAAACTGCATTTACATGATGAGTGACGTTGGTCCAAATAAATTACTTTAAAGTATTATATTTATAGTGCTTCTCCAAACTAATTTGTCTGGTTGTAAACTTATATAGTATAATAATACATATAAGTATTACAGAGATAACGTAACATATAATATAATTAAATACTAATTTTTTAGCTTCTTTAATTTTTTTAAACTAATCAACAGGGTCTTATATTAAGGAAGCAAGTTGGCTTGTGAAAGTTATAACAAAGTCTGTTCATGTTCTGTTTTGAAGTCTCTACTTTGTTTTCATTCACAAACATCAATATGCGAATCACAATCAGTTTAATTATAGTATTCAACAATTTTGTGAGATACTACAACTTTTCCGGTTAACACTTCAATGGGTTTAATCATTTCATCAATTCCAATTACATGTTGACAATTATATGTATCTTCCAGTTTTGTCTCGACATCAGACCACATACCAAATTTCATGATATGTTTTATGCTTCAATCCAATTGCCTGCATGACTGGACTTCTGCTTCAAGAAAAATACCAACGAAGTTGTTCGACAAGAAATGTCTACATTGTAACAAGCCAAGCAGAAGTTAAAGCCTAATTTTTAAAATAACGGGGTTTAAACTCATCGAATAGAATTAAATATACCAGAAAGTGTGAACTTTTGACTCAAGAAGAGAATAGATATTCTGTTCAGAGTATATCTAATTTAACGTGGTTATCCATGAATTGTTCTTGCTCGACATCAGTATTTTTCTGCGCCTCTTTTTCCTTGAACCCAACTCTGATTTCAATTCCCTCTCTGAAGTAACTTCCTGTACTCTGACTCCAACTCCATTTGTTGAAGAATTTCTTAACGTTCTGAGGCATATACTGGTGGGACTTCACATGATACGAAGCCATCACGTTTTGATATTTCAAGTTTATCATCCTCATCATATGTAACAACAGAGAATTTGAATGGAAGCTTTGCGTTATAATTGTTTCTGAATGTTTTAATGAACCTGCATGGACTACGCCATAGAAAAACATGATGCGAACTAAGTTCAATCTGGTCATATCAAAATTCAGGCTGTGGACCTGTTTATCATCTGCTTCCCAACAAATTCGGCAATTCAAGCGACCGGAAAGGCTTTTCTTTAGCTTGAATTGTGAAGCAACAGAGTAGAAGATGTAAAGCCCTGCCAGCAAAACAGAATGAAACTGCAGAAGATGAGGATGATTGATAAATCCTGATTTTAATATATTATTTAATACTTTTTTGGGATATTTATCAATTAAAATGAGATAATTTGCATTGATTGTGGATATTTTGAATTAAATACTGATTGCATAAAGTTAGAGACTTAAAAGGAAATCTTATCATACTTTATCTCCTTTTAAATAATTGATTTTGGGCTTTATAACAGTATCTCAATGTATCTTTTGGAGGTCTCAAAGAAGGGAAATAAAGATAATAGGAAAGCTGAAAGGAAGAAGGAAAAATCAAAAAAGGAAATTGGAGACACAAAGCAACTTGAACATCAAGGCATCAGATTATTATATTTTAATTCATTTAAGAAAAAGAAAAGAAAAGCAAGCTGGAATTTCCATATCCACACACGCCAATCCTCCTTCAGAAAAAATAGTGAAGGAAAAAATAAAATAAAATAAAGAGTGTATGGGAAAAAATAAATATAACAACAGATAATAGAATTAATTAGGAGGAAAATTTGTTAAAAAAACATTTTAATATTCATATAACTCCAAACTGGATCTTATTAAACCAGTTCAAAAATTAAGACCAGAGGGATCACTAATCATATTAATTAATTACTTTCCCACACACAACAAAGTAGTATAACTTGTAATCCTCATAACAAACAGGAATTTAAAATTTACAACAATCACACGTATCACATGCATGCCATAAAATACCTCTAAATAGAATATCTCAGGTCAGGCTACGTTTTCCAGTATGTTATTGACCATTTAATAAATATGACCGACTTTTAACGAAATGTAAGACACACTAATTAGTTACTTCTGGTCTCTTCCTATTTTCCATATTGTTTTAATAATTGGACATCACAATCAGTGTCTCTTATATCAAGATCTGCAATTTAACTTAATGACAAATTGAAGATCATTTTCAAATTACAAAGTCACGCGCACACATTCTTGTTTCAGTACAAAACTTTCTAAATGCAGAGAGAAAAAGAAAGCAAGCATAACAAAGTGAAGAAAGAAATTATTTTGAAAGTAAACAGAAGAATATCCAACTCATGAGGCTTACCCATCTTAATGCCAAACATCAAGTTTCATTTATCTCCAAGAACAGTATGAATACATTTTCCTATTAAGCAGCAGCATCCGCGTTTTTTACTGTCACCTTTTCTTGGCCGAGAATGATGATTAAATACATATATTATGTCAAACTGCAAAGACGGGAGAACATAATAATATAAGTTAATAGAATTTTTTTGGGTATAATATTAGTTAATGGATATTAATGATTGAATATAGGGTTTGCATCAGAAAGAAAGATGTAACTAAAAATCAATTCAAGAATTTAATTTTCCTGGTTACCTTCAAATCTCGGCTCGCTGCAATCAGCACATTGCCCGTCATTTGATCAGTACTTGGTTATGAAATCCAGAGGAGATAAAAGGTTTACTGCTTCACCACAATTTACACCTGCAAATACAAGTGGCTAAATCATGAAGACTCTTTCCTTAGCCTCTGCTGACTGTTGCAGAAGTTGAACTCTCTTGTGAAAAATAGTTTCGTTTTTCAATAGAACAAAATTACATGAAGATAAATATTTTTCATCCTAAATATAATCATCTTAAGATTTGGTTGGTTATTTCACTTCACCGACATTTTTTTTTATCACGGTATCTAATGGAACTAAGCTATACATACCAAGTTTCCTATTATGTTATGCTTTACTGGAATTCTGCATCAAGAAACATATCAGCGTATTTGTTTGAGATGATACACACTCATTCTAAGAAGCCAAGAAAGTAAAATCCTAATTTTGGAAACAATTGGATATAAATACATCAATACATTAAATATATTGCAAAGTAACAATTTTTATTTAAAAGCATCATCTATATTTGTCTAGGGCAGCTATGGTATAACAATGTCAAATAGTTGATGAACTGTAAAAGAGAGATACATACCGATCAAGCAATGTATTGTAGGTAGTTTATTTATGATGAGTGTGTTTCTCTGTAGATTCCAAATTCAATTGGAGTAGCAATTCAGGAGCATAATGAGATGTCTTGGACTCAGAATTCAGGGGAATAGATTGAATGATATCTATATAAGAGTCCTTCAATTTCTTTGTTGAAGGGAGCTGATGTTGGTCATCATCAATATTCTGATGCCTCTTTTTTGGCATACTTACCTCCACTTTCTTTTGTTGGAGGAAGTTTGTGTACTCTGAGACATATATTGGCCGAACTCCACATGCTTTGATCAAGCAATCACGAATATAGACACATCCTCCATCGATCTCGCCATCACCGAACTCAAATTTAAATTCAAGCTCCTCATTATAACCTTTTCCCTTGCTTCATGTAGTATGCGTTCACAGTATAGGGGATCGTACCATAGAAACACATTATCATCTGAATTCAATTTTTCCATTGAATAGTGCCATCCTGTTAGACCTTCCAAAGGAACGATAACATTTTCCCTATGCCGTTCGCAGTGACATGATGAGTGGCATTGATCCCTTTCTTTTGAGGAGAAATGAGGTATGACAAAGCAGAAAATGAAACCTATTAAGTTTTCAAAATCTGGAGCAAGCTGAACACTCACTTGTATACCTTTATACCCTATTATTGAACTTTTGTAAGTAAACCACTCTGGAATAGTACTTCCTTCAAAATTGCCACATTTTTCTTGCTTCAATGAGAATCTAACATATTGTAGTATTTCATGAAACGAATTCTCATCAGCATAATGACAGGACTCTTTTTGGGTACCCAAGTTTGGCTCCCGTCCCATCTGTTGAATGAAGTCGTGATATTTCGAGGCATATATTGGGCAGACTCCACATGCTTCAATCACACAATCAGCGAGCTTCTCTCCAAATTTGGCAACAGAGAATTCAAATGACACCTTTGGCCTGTAATTGGTGTTTTGGTTGTCCGTTGCTTTGTGGAAGTTTATGAATAGGTCAGGATCACACCACAAAAAAACATTATGTGATTCCGAATTTTCATTCGTATTAAATTGAAACTGAGAGCAATTGCACTGCTTACCATCATAATAAAGTTTGCATGGCAAGTCAGCGCGAGAGGGATGCTGAGAAAGAATAGCGCAAAAAAGGAAGCCAATTAGGTCGTTTGTGGTTGAAGGAGACTCAATAGTTATATAGTAAGAAGCCTCTGTTCTGTGATTAGATTCAAACCACCCTGGAACTTTTCTTCCAGGATAACAGACACTACCTCTTCGTTCTGTGTACGCCAATCGCTTCAATGAGAAATAAGCACTTTCCGTAACATGAGATAGAAAGCAGTTCTCCAATTTCAAGCAATCTCTCAGAAATAGGGACTCCAATTGTGGTGCAAAAGGTATTGAAATGTGTACAATCTCCAATGATATGCAGCCATGAGCGAAGACGGTTTTGATGGATGGCGGCAGTTCTGGCAGAGAATGAAGTCTTGTACAATTGGTCAATTCTATTTCTTCCAGATTTGAAAGATACTTGATACTGGAAGGCAAGTTCGCCACAATACTTCCACTCAAATCCAACGAAGACAATGAAGATAAGGAGCCGATGCTTTCAGGAGTTCATACAACTGTTCACAACCACTCAAATCCAGTGAAGACAATGAAGATAAGGAGCCGATGCTTTCAGGAAGTTCATACAACTGTTCACAACCACTCAGATCCAGTGAAGACAATGAAGATAAGGAGCCGATGCTTTTAGGGAGTTCATACAACTGTTCACAACCACCAAGACTAAGCTTTCGATGATTTTGGAGATAACTGACCGAGGAACTAACCGAGGAACGGAGCGTTGAACCCAACATTATTTCATCTGCCAATGATGGAGATTCAATATGAGAAGTGAATTGCAGCGTCTTTAATGATGTGCAGCCGTAGGCATGTAATTCTTCAATGGATGGAGGAAGCTCTGGTAAAGATTGAAGGTTCCTGCAAAAGCTTACATCAAGAGACTGTAGCCTGGAGAGATGCTTGACATTGTTTGGAAGCTCAGTTAATGTGAATGACTCTCTCAAAGAAAGTGATTTCAGAGATCGCAAAGCATCAAATAAGCTATGGAGCTTTGATTTGTCGATCATTCCCTTGTACCTCCAAAGATGAAGCTCCTCAAGAGATCTCATGCAACAAATGTCATTAATTGGAAGACTCCTTAGTTTGAAACCATTAAGAGAGAGCCTCCGAAGTTTGTCCATGTGCCCAGTTGAAAAGTCTAAATTCTCGACTGGTGAGCCCAATAAATCTAGAGCAGTTAGTTTGTCTGAAGAGAATGAAAATTCCTTGAGACTAGAGCAAAACCCAACATCTAGTTGTGAGATCGATTTTGATTGGCTCCCTGCTTCCAAACTCTCTAGGTTTTTGCAAGACATAAGATTTACTCCCCTCAATCTCGGAAGAGATAAAATGGATGGATGAAGATGGCATAAACTTTCACACCCGACAAGATTAACCCATTCAAGTCTTTCAGCGGTTGACAAATCTGGCAACTCTATCAATTTCTTGGATCCCTGAAGGTTTATATTCCTTAAACTCACCAAGTCCTGCAACAATTAAGAAGCGAAATATTACATAGGAATCAAGAGTCTTAAATTTGAATCAGATTGTCAAAAGGAAAAATTATAAAACTCGTATTTGTATATTATACCTGCTTGCCATCCATAGTTTTCGAAGGTAGCTATTAGGCATGTGAAGTTCAACTAGCTTCTCGGCACAAAATGACATTGGCAAATACTCTAAAGGAAAATTGTCCCACTGAAGATACCTTTACGAATTAGGAAATGATTGAAGCCCTGAAGGAAGTTTCACAGTGCATGATCCTTTATCGTTAGGTGAATAGAGTTTCAGAAGCCTTAAATTTGCCACCTCTCTAAAGACATAAGCACTCAATTCAAAATCTTTAATTTGAGACAAACATAAGCTTATGCCTTGAATTGCACCACTTCCCTGAACAACACAGAGGCCCAAAAGAAAATAATTAAACTGCTTTATATTAACAATTTCTTTTCATTCGTTTTCAAGTGTTTAATTAGAAAGGTAAATATTTTTCTTACTCGATTATCTTTTAGGACGTCGATGATCTCATTAGAGTTCCATAATCGACTGCGTCCTCCAGGATTCTTACACTCTTTGCGAACAATTTCAAAAGCCATTGATTGAATTAGATCATGCATCCATACCACGCCATGATGAAGACTTATCAAAGCCTTATCCACAATTCCCAGACCAATGCTTGCGTGAAAGCCAAAAATGTCTAGCATTGCTTCTACATATTCTCTAGATCTACCTTTAAAAAAACAAGCAATGTCTAAAAATATCTCCCTCACTTCGTCATCAAGTCCATCGTAGCTCAATTTTAACACAACTTGAATACCTTCAATGGCCAACCTCTCTAATTTTCTCAACGCACTTTCCCATTGATCTACAGGTCTGGACTGTAGAAGCGAACCCAAAACGGTTAAGGCCAATGGGATGCCTTTGGCATAAGCAAGTGCTCTTTTAATTAGTTCTTCATATTCACTTTCATAACCATCTTTGTGGAAGGCTTTGAGGTTGAAAAGCTCAAGTGAATTGTTGTAGCTCAATGCTTTGGCCTCATGTATTTTATCAACTCTTCCATTAAGCACATGCTTATCCCTACTTGTTATGATGACTTTACTACTAGGTCCCAAAGGAGGAGCTTCACTTTTCAACTCATCTAACTGCTTTGTGTTGCTAACATCATCAAGTACAATCAAAACTCTTCTACGATCGAGCCTCCCAAGAGATGTATCCTTTGATAGTTCTCGGAAAAGTTCATCACGTACATATTCTAACCCATGCTTTTCATACTTTTCTGTAAAATTCTTCAAGAAGCAGCAACTATCAAATTGAGAGCAGAGCTTGGTAAACACAACCTTAGCCATTGTTGTTTTGCCTATCCCGCCCATCCCTCAAATCCCAATTGTTGAGCATTCTTCTAGCAACAACTCAATATGATCCAAACTCTCATCAATTCCAACAATATTTTCTAATACACTTCCTGAGTATCCATGATTTAGTTTGTTGATGACGTCATTGACAATATTTTGAATAAGTTCTGCTTCATCCCTGCTATAAAAAAAGAATTATGGAAGAAAGTATTAATGTATCAAATGAAAATTAATTAAAAAAATAATATATTAAATAAAGTGACAACTAATTGATGACGGTTTTTCTATATGATAAGATTATTATTTTTTAAAAAGCGACAAATTTCTTCATAGTTTTATCAAAATTGTATGGATATTTTTCCTCCATGTTCAAAATTATTAAGAAGGATTCATTCAAACATAAGAAATGTATACATAATTTACTCTATTATGAGTTATTCGTAATGACAATTAATCCAAAAAAAGGTTACGTTGAAGAGTTGAAAAATCAACTTTCATCTGATAGGGAAAAAAAGGAAAAGAGGGAAAAAGAAAAAAAAATCAACTTTCAGAGCTAAAGTATCCAATTTTGAGATGACACCATTTAAATAATGTTTTTTTTCATATAAACCCAATAATGTAAAGAAATTAATTTTATATGTCATATACAGACGAGTATTGCAATAAACATGATCGAACATCATTATTTGCTACCAGTTAATTAGTTGTCAGATGAGCTAATATGGAAAGAAAAAGCAGTTTATATGAAGATGAAGACCAATCACAGGAATAAATAAAAGCATGATACTCTGATTCAGATACTTGGAGTTAGAAAAGGAAGAGTGACCTGTAGTTGCAGGAGTCCCATCCTGCTAGATTTGCAATCTCAAAAAGTGCTTGTCTCCACTCCTCCACCTTCTCTGGGTTTTTCTCCAGATGTTCTGTGAATGCTTTCTCATAAGCTCCCCTTTGTTTGCGTACATGAGATGGGTTGATTTCGTAGAAGATAGGGACAACAATCTGTGCCTGCTGTTGTTTGCAGTGAAGGATTTGAAGGAGCTCATTCAAACACCATTTGGAGGAGGCATAATTTTGAGAGAAGACCACCACAAGATGGATGAATCCTGAATTGCTTCAATGAGTGATTGGGAGATGTCATCGTCTTTTGGGAGCTTATAATCAATGTATATCTCAATATCTCTGAGGCACAAGGCAGTATGGAGATGGCTGGTGAAAGATCTGCGAGTGTCCTCTCCTTTAAAACTCAGAAACACATCATATTTCCTGGAAGAAGAAGATGATGATGGGGAAGCTATGGCAAACATGGTATTCTGATTACTCTCTCAGATCTCTCTCTGTCTTCTTTGCTGAGAAATGGCAAAAGTCAACTAATGATGGAGTATGGATGGCAGCGGGTAGACTTTATGCACTTTTTCAAGTCTTCAGAGCCAAATGACACGGCAACTGATACTTTTACTCTTTTCACATTTGAATTAATAACAAATTTCATTCCCATCCCAACCCCAGCACCTTTCTTTTAGCGATAAAAAGTAGTATATATTTTAGAGATAATAATTTGCGTAGGCTCCAAATGAAAACATTATTATCTAAGACCCATAAATAATACTATCTTTGATTTTTAATATAGCAGTTTGTTTGATTTTTATTTTGGTCCTAAATATAATATTCTAATTCACTTTGTCTCTCATATTTATCTTTTTTTTTTTCAATATGGTCTTTGTAATGATAATAATTCTAATCAATATACTTGATTAGCAAGGATATTTTAGAAAAGACGTGTCTATTTATTATAAATAACTAATTTAACTAGTTTTTTTTAATTTACTCAAATTAGTTAACTAACTCTTATATTAATGACAGGTAGTATCACAATCTATCACTAATAATTATTCTTTTCGGTTTTTCAAGATAGACCAAAACATCATGACAACATTGTCCGTCCTTCATACCATGATTTACAGGGAAAGGTCGTACCCTCAATGGAATGTGAATGGTTTGTACGTAAAAGATGATGTTGGTGCTTCCTGCCAATCGCTCTGTTACTTCTCGGCGGCTTCCCCGCACTGAACGTAGCTAGGCGGAACGTTCCAATCAAAATTCAATTGCTCATTTGCTCTCAACTTTCACATGTTGGCGTTAGGGACATTGTTGTTACTAACTTCTATTTTTCAATATAAAAACTACTTACTAATTTAAATATATTAAAAATAAATAGATTATTTAATTATAATAAACATGACATGATCTTCTTAAAATATTTTTTTATAGAGTATTATATTATATATATCAATTTATAATATAAATAAATAGTTTGAAAAAATGATAAATATGATAAATATATTAAGATCTTATATATAATATTAAATTTAACTCACAACTAGTTCTTGTAGCAAAAAAACTGAATAGAGTAATTGTTAGTGATAATAGGGTCGATTCTGTTTGAAATTGTGTTAAATGATGGGTTACTATTTGTTAGTGATGATAGGGTCAATAAAATGATGGGTTCTAGTATATTTTGATGCTGCTTGTCCTGTAACAAAATAAATTGGAATATGTAGAAGATCCATTTGCCAAATTAAAATGCGCAATGTTTGAGAACCAATACACAGAGCAATAATGCAAAAGCCCCACCAACACTGACTGATCATCTACAAGAATAATTACCACAGTTACTGTAATTAACATGAAAGGATGCAAAAATACCTATAAATTTTTACTTAAAGTGCATCCATCACCATAACCTTTGCGGAGGTACAAAAGTATAATAATATAATAAAATTTATTTTTTTAAAAAAACTGAAGTAATTAAAGGAGGAGATTTCCATTAATGTGGTGGTTTTTAATACACATTATTAAAAGAGTATTTAGGTAAACCTACAAATATTTTTTAAAAAAAATTAATAAAATTACCTAACTCCTATATGAAAATTGGAGGGAGTATATGTTTTTTTTTTGGGGCACATTAAGTTTTTTTTTTTTGACCAGAGGGCACATTAAGTATGCAGTCAAGCCTTTGGGAGATTTACATTTTCATGAAAGCTTCTTCCGGTAAAAAAAAAAGTTAAAAAAAAACAAACAAACAAACGAAAGCTTCTACGTAACTAAGGTCCAACAAAATGTGCGGCCTTCGCTGAAAAGTTGATGTTGATGCTCCATGGCAATTGCTTTACTATTTCACTGCAACTCCCCCTTAGAGTGGTTTGGAGGAATAATAATTACGCTGTTCCTTCTCTGCAGCTTTCACCAACTGATTGTAGTGTCAGAGTTTTAATTGCTAGAGATAGTAAGGTCAATTGTGTTTGAAAGCGTGTTAAAGAGTACCAAACATGCAAACAATTAAAATCAAATTAAGACGTAACAGAGTAATTAAAGAGTACCAAACATGCAAAGTCCTACGTATATTCAGTCCAAAAAAAAAAATCCTTCGTATATTGAAAGCGTGTTAAAGAGTACCAAACATGCAAACTCCCTTGTCGCTGGTTATAAAATCCAATTTTCTAAATGGATCTGTTTTTTTATAAGATTTTTTTTAAGTTTGTTTAAATATTTAATATATTATTATTTATTTTATTCTTAATTTAATGCATTTAATGCATTTTTTTCTTCATTTATTTTACTAATATTAACTGTTTTCTTAATATGTGTTACTTTTTGGATCAAAACAATATCTGTTATTTAGAACTCAAGTCGTTGGCAGAATTGCACAGCTGGCTTCCATATTAAAGGGGTGCATGTCCTCGTTGGAAAAGTTGTGACTGGAGGGAAGAATAAATGGCCCAGCATGAACTATTATACCAAGTAATTGGGCTAATAATATACACTATACAATGACATGCAAACCTGTGGAAAGTTGAAAAGTCTTTCGAACAATCTTGGATTTGCTTTAAATATAAAATTAAAGTGTGTTTTTAATTATCAGCAATCCTGAAAACAAGACACAGTTCTGTTGGGGAAAAAAAAAAACTCAATTCACAGGTATTAAATATACATAAATACTACGTATTGCAAGTTTGAAAACTCTTTTTTTTTTTTTTGTTCTTGAAGTATTTTTTTTTTTTGGTTCTTGAAGTATATTCTGACGCTACATGTACTGTAACAAATTCGAATATGTAAGAGATCATTTTGCCAAACTGAAATGCATAAAGTTTGAGAACCGATTGACGGACTAATAATGCAAGAGCCAGAGCTTGAGGAAGCAGAAGCCATTGCAGTTTGTTTCAAAGTGCAGAAAGAACAGTTTGCACACAATGGGGACGACGGAAATAGTCTTCGTGGAATCGCCGGTACAAGAGATGCTGTTAGTATGCCAGCTAAGTTCAGTTCTGTGGTAACGAAGCGGAGTATCCAACTAATAAGTAATGATTCGGTGGATATTTTGAATCAAAATTTAATGGGACTGTTCTTTTCCTCCCTGCCAGCTGATAGTGGGGTCCCGTTGTTAATGTCAGTGATGCTGCTGCTACTCATGGTAGGTCCAAACAATGGAGAACTGGACCCAATTTGGTACTCCATAACCACGTGAGGTTTGTACAGTTTAAATATAATTTCATTAGCCAGTATTTAATTTAAAATGTTTAACTCATAATTTTTAAATAAAAAACTGTTTTTTATAAAACTGAAAATTTTAAAAATATCTTTATTTTTAATTCTGTATAAATTAAAATATTTTTTTAAAAATAAAAGTAAAAAAATAGATCTGGCATGCGTTTGAAAGTGAAAGCTTGCTAAAGGATGCTCTTCCGTTTCTTTTTATATAAGACAACTACCACTTCTACTTTATTCTATGTATAAGAAATATTTGTAAAATGTCACAAATTTTTTGGCTAGTTTTTAAGTTTGTTTCCATTAATTACTTATTTCAATACTTAATATATTTATTATTTTATTTTGCAAAGCATAATTCATTCATCTTTCTGCATTACATATTTTTTTCTTTCATAATTCTCTTTATTTTAATAATTTCTTTATTCTCTCTCTTATACTTTTTCCTCCTA